TTGCTAAAAGAGTAGATTTTAAATGTTCTCATTGCAAAAAGTGTTAAGAACGTAAGGTGATTGAAATGTTCATTAGTTAGATATAATCATTCCACAATGTATACATGTATCGAAATATCACATTGTACCCCATAAATATATACGATTATTATTTGTCAATTAAAAATAAAACTTTGAAAAAAAATAATGTGGGCCTTTGGAATATCCTAAAGCAAATTCATTCATTCATTCACAAATATTTTTTAGCGCATACTACTGCCACACTGGCCCTGTTCTAAAGACTGGGGATACAGTCTAGGACAACACAGACAAGGTCCCAATGTTTTGGCATTTACAGAAGAAAACAGATAATAAGCAAATAAACAAAGAAGATACTTTCAGACAGTGACAACATTCTACAAAGAAAGTAAATCTGAGGCAACTGGTGCAGGGAATGTGAGAGACTATTCAGGTCACGAGGAGGGTGGGTCAGAGAACGCACTTTCATCTACATGGTTCAGGAGAGTCTTGTGTGGGGAAAGAAGTGAGTTTTGCTAAGATCTGAGCAGAGCACTTTCCAGGGAAAGAGAAGAGCAGATACAAGACCCCGAGGGTAGGCCAAGTTGGAGTCTATGGAAGGACAGCAGGATATAAAGCTGGAGAGATAGACAGGGACCAGTCTATGTAGGTTTTAGCATGTTAAGAGGTTTAGACTTCATTCTAAATTCAAAGGAAAACCAGTGCAGTGGTTTAGGTGCAATAGTTATTTGATTTATGTTTTTAAAAGATTCCTGTGGCTGCCACATACAGAATGGATTGCAGGTGGCCCAAATGATAGCTGGGAGAATAGTTAGGAGACTATTCTATAGCCTAAAATGACGTATGCTAGTGGGTTGGATAAGGGTGAAAGTAGTGGGAATGAAAAGAAGTAGATGGAAGTGTGAATACAGCATATCCCATATTTTGGGCAGAAAGCTAATGGACTAGATGTGGAGAGAAGCAGAAAAAAGGGGCTCATGAATGGAGTCATGTTGCAATATATTTGCATTAATCATCTACTAGACCAGCATTTTCTAGAATACACATATTTTAACCATGACCTATAGTAAATAATGCATCATGACCCAGGATACCGTATGTAATAGAAACAAACCATCATGAGAGAACATTGATTTTTACCACACATGGTACACTCTGAATAGATCCGGTTCCTGGCCCCACCACTACCAATATCACCTTTTTTTTCAAATTCCGATCACAACTGATTAAATTGATTTCATGACCTAACAGTGGGTCATGACTCACAGTTTGAAAATCTATGCTGGGCCAGACACAGTGCCTCTGTCTGTAATCCCACACTTTGGGAGGCTGAAGTGAGCCAATCGCTTGGGTCCAGGAGTTCGAAATCAGCCTGAGCAACATGGTGAAATCTAGTTTCCACAAAACAAAACAAAACAAAAAATCAGCTGGGTGTTGTGGCATGTGCCTGTAATCCCACTCACTCAAGAAGCTGAGGTAGGAGGATCACTTGAGCCCAGGATGCCGAGGCTTCAGTGAGCTGAGATCACGCCACTGCACTCCAGCCTGGGTGACAGAGTTAGACCCTGTCTCAAAAAAACAAAAGAAAATCTATGCTGGAAGGTCACAGAAGATTGTTTTATAGGTTTGAGTGTACGTTTTTCCTAAACCTCCTTTCTCAGAAAGTTTATGCTTCTCTAACCTCACTCTGTGTGGTTTGCTATGATTTGCATGCATTTGAACTCTCTACATCTGTATAAAGCATTCATTGCTTGTAGTTTCTCAAAGGATGCTTTTAACTCAAGTGTTAGTCCATCTGTTAAGACCTATTTATTGCTTTTAAAGAGAAAAAATTAAAAGCAAATTAGGAATTCTGGGCTCACACTAACCAGGATATTTTTTTCCTTTTGTAAAACCCTTCCATCTGTCTGCCCTCTTTTGGACATAACTCAAATAGGAGCACACATCTCATCAAATCAAATGTGGGTGCTGTCGAAAAGTCTGCCAAAATATCATGCCATTTGCTTTTTTAAAAAAGAAGAATTAAAATCAGATTTAACATAATGAACTGTTTGTTTTGTTGCTTTTTTTCCCATCCATTACAGAAGCATAGGCTTCAATTTACTACATGTAGGTTTATACGGTGGCCTTCTAGGGGTATTCCCAAAGTACCCTAAGATAAACTGGATATCACAGTTTTGCTGGGGCAAAAATTAGCAGTAGAGAAACAAACTATTGCAGGAGGACAGAGAGAACCAAGGGCTCTAGCTCTGAACCCCATAAGACAGAAACCCCAGGGTGAGGGCAATTACCCCATCTGGCTTTTCTCTCTCCTGCAGAGCCTAGCCCAGAGGAGTTTGCTCAGTACCCTGGCAGGTCATTTAATCTTTGACTAGTTCTTCTTGACCTAACCTTGTGATTTAAAATAATAGCTGTCTAACTACTCTTCCAAAGATCTTCTGAGAATAATCAGGAATTAAAGAATCACATATAAGAAGATAAAGGAACCTAACAGCTACTGCCCAGTTATCAGACAAAAAGCCCTGAAGTCTCTTGGACAGTCTCTCTGGCAAAGATGGGTGATCTCATGGTCTCAGGACTATGACTCCCCCATAGCCAAGGATGCTATAGCCTTAAAAACCTGCAGTGGTGGCAGGTGCTATGCAATGGTTAAGAGAAAAGATTCTGGTCAAGTAGACCCTGGTATTAAAATTCTGGCTCTACCATTTAGCTCCGTTTGACCTTGAACAAATCACAAAATGTCTCTAAACCTCAGTTTTCTCATTAGGATGTTGGGAGATTAAATGAGAATAAATCATACAGAGCACTTGGCAAACCCTCTGGGAAAAATGAAACACACAAATGGCAGATGCTATTGTTATTATTACTGCTGTTATTATTATTATGAAAGTCACTCAAGTATGTTATAGGGGTAAAGCAATAAAAATGTGAAGTCTGTAAAAAAGGAAAGAGGTGTGCTTAAGATAAATGTAATGAAGAAAGCCATATGCTTAGATTTGAAAAGCAATGACACAATACAAAATAAGGGACTGATGAAGCTGAAAATTATTTTAAATGGGGTATTTAGTAAGAACTGCTTTCCTGAATCAGCTTAATGTCTTAATGGTTGGGTCCTGGGTAATCACACACATATCTTGTTATCTAATCATAAAGGCTTATTAAAGCAGAAGTTTATTTTTCCATTTCTCTTCACATCATTTTTATCTCTTCATGTTACTTTCTCATTCTGTGGAATCCTCTTCAAGAAAACTAATTTTTGTTTATTCAAAATATGCTTGTTATGGACTCTATCACATCTTCACTAATCCCTTACTATTGTTTTATGGTGCTAAATCCTTCTATGGTTCTAATTAGTGTGCCCCTTCAGTAGTACTTGGGTGTTTTATGTATAATATCTGAAACAGAAGTAATTAAAGGAGATAGGGTACAATACATCTTCAAGTGTGAAGATCCTGATAGAATAAAAATAACTGTTACCACATTTTGAGTGGGGTTTCAGCAGCATCTCTTTGTCCCCAGAATTTAGCAAAACCTATTTACCTGGTCTCCCCATTTCAAAAATAACAATCTTATCTCCAGTTTTAAGTTCAGTTCAGTGATTCTCTTAATGACATTCGACAAGGTTCTTTCTAATGCAGAACTTCTAAAGTACATCTTCTAACTACCAAGGAAGAATATTTTTCCAGCCCAAATCAATCCACTTGTAGGATACATGTATTTTTATGGAAAACAAAATATACTTAGTTGCACTTTCCCAGTGATTTATTTTATTATTTGATAAATTTTTTATCCTCATTTCTGATTGATTGGAATTTGGCAGTTATTCCCCAGACTCTCCATTGAGTGACTAATGACCAATAAACAAAACGTGCCAAGGACACTGTAATTCAAAGAAATGCTGCCAGTTAAGAAAACTTGTTTGTAAAGTAAGTATGATTTTATTTTATTTTACTTTATTTATTTATTTATTTATTTTGAGATGGAGTCTCGCTCTGTCGCCCAGGCTAGGGTGCAGTGGCGCGATCTCGGCTCACTGCAAGCTCCGCCTCCTGGATTCACGCCATTCTCCTGCCTTAGACTCCCAAGTAGCTGGGACTACAGGCACCTGCCACCACGCCTGGCTAATTTCTTGTATTTTTAATAGAGATGGGGTTTCACCATGTTTGCCAGGATGGTCTCGATCTCCTGACCTCGTGATCCGCCCGCCTCGGCCTCCCAAAGTGCTGGGATTACAGATGTGAGCCATCGCGCCTGACGGAGTAGTATGATTTTATAATGTGAATAACAAGAACACTTTTCTTAAAGCATAACCTCAAGGCTGTACCATAAAGGAAAAGCAAGTCCATATTAAAGCCCTACTTTCTCTACTGAATTTTATTGCACTTTATTTGTGCTTCACAGATACAGTATTTTTCACAAATTGAAAGTTTGTGGCAACCTTGTGTCAAGTAAGTTCATATTTCCAATAACACATGCTCATTTTGTGTCTCTACGTACATATTGGTAATTCTTGCAATACTTCAAACTGTGTCATTATTATTATATCTGTTACGGTGATCTGTGATCACTGATCTTTGATGTTACTATTATAACTGTTTTTGAGGCACCACAAATTGTGCCAAAATAAGATGTAAAACTTAATCAGTAAATGTTATGTGTGTTCTGACTGCTCCACTGACTGGTCATTTCCTGGTCTCAGTCCCTCTCCTTGGGCCTCCCTATTCCCTGAGACACAACAATATTGAAATCAGGTTAATTAATAATCCTAGAGAAAGGAATAGTCACACAACTCTCACATGAAATCAAAAGCTAGAAATGATTAAGCTTAGTGAGGAAGGCATGTCAAAAGCTGACATAAGCCAAAAGCTAACCCTCCTGTGCCAAAATTAGCCAACTTGTAAATGCAGAGGAAAAGTTACTGAATAAAATTAAAAGTGCTACTCCAGTGAACACAAGAATATGAAAGTCAAACAGCCAGGTGGCCGGATCTTGAAGAGGGGAGAGTGGCGGGCTGCTGAATAAGCTTCCAAAATGATGCCTACACCAGTTATCCTATTGAAAGAGGGGACTGATAGCTTCCAAGGCATCCCCCAGCTTGTAAGTAACATCAGTGCCTGCCAGGTGATTGCTGAAGCTGTAAGAACCACCCTGGGTCCCCGTGGCATGGACAAGCTTACTGTAGATTGCAGAGGCAAAGCAACAATTTCTAATGATGGGGCCACAATTCTGAAACTTCTTCATGTTGTCCATCCTGCAGCAAAGACTTTGGTAGACATTGCCAAATCCTAATCATCATTCAAGCTTTCCGCACAGTCACCCAGCTGGCAGTTAACAAGATCAAAGACATTGCTGTGACTGTGAAGAAGGCAGATAAAGTGGAGCAGAGGAAGCTGCTGGAAAAGTGTGCCATGACTGCTCTGAGCTCCAAGCTGATCTCCCAGCAGAAAGCTTTCTTTGTTAAGATGGTGGTGGATACAGTGATGATGCTCGATGATTTGCTGCAGCTTAAAATGATTGGAATCAAGAAGGTACAGGGTGGAGCCCTCGAGGATTCTCAGCCGGTAGCTAGTGTTGCATTCAAGAAGACTTTCTCTTACGCTGGGTTTGAAATGCAACCCAAAAAGGACCACAATCCCAAGATCGCCGTTTTGAATGTCGAGCTCAAGTTGAAAGCTGAGAAAGACCATGCGGAGATAAGAGTCCACACAGTTGAGGATTATCAGGCAATTGTTGATGCTGAGTGGAACATTCTCTATGACAAGTTAGAGAAGATCCATCATTCTGGAGCCAAAGTTGTCTTGTCCAAACTCCCCACTGGGGATGTGGTCACCCAGTACTTTGCTGACAGGGACATGTTCTGTGCTGGCCGAGTACCTGAGGAGGATCTGAAGAGGACAATGATGGCCTGTGGAGGCTCAATCCAGACTAGTGTGAATACTCTGTCAGCAGATGTGCTGGGTCGATGCCAGGTGTTTGAAGAGACCCAGATTGGAGGCGAGAGGTACAATTTTTTTACTGGCTGCCCCAAGGCCAAGACATGCACCTTCATCCTCCGTGATGGTGCCCAGTAGTTTATGGAGGAGACAGAGCGGTCCCTGCATGATGCCATCACGATCGTCAGGCGGACTATCAAGAATGATTCAGTGGTGGCTGGTGGCGGGGCCATTGAGATGGAGCTCTCCGAGTACCTGAGGGATTACTCAAGGACTGTTCCAGGAAAACAGCAGCTGTTGATTGGGGCGTATGCCAAGGCCTTGGAGATTATCCCACGCCAGCTGTGTGACAATGCTGGCTTTGATGCCACAAACATTCTCAACAAGCTGCGGGCTCGGCATGCCCAGGGGGGGCACATGGTATGGGGTGGACATCAACAACGAGGACATTGCTGACAACTTTGAAGCCTTCGTGTGGGAGCCAGCTATGGTGCGGATCAATGCGCTCAGAGCAGCCTCTGAGGCTGCATGCCTGATCCTGTCTGTAGATGAAACCATCAAGAACCCCCGCTCGACTGTGGATGCTCCCCCAGCAGCAGGCTGCAGCCGTGGTCATGGCCGCCCGCACTGAGAGGCACCCCACCTATCACATGACTGGCTGACTGCTGGGTGCACCTACTCTCCTTGGGTTGGTTACTTCATTTTACAAGGAAGGGGTAGCAGTTGGCCCACTCTCTTCTCACTGGAGGCTATTTAAATAAAATGTAAGACTTTGGAAAAAAAAAAAAAAAAAAAAGAAAGTCAAACAGCCTACTGCTGATATGGAGAGAGAAAGTTTTATTGGTTTGAGTAGAAGATCAAATCAGCTACAACATTCCCTTAACCCAAAGCCTAATCCAGAGAAAGGCCCTAACTCTCTTCAATACTATGAAGGGTGAGTGAGATGAGGAAGCTGCAGAAGAAAAGTTGGAAGCTAGCAGAGGTTGGTTCATGAGTTTAATAAAAGCTATCTTTGTAACATAAAAGTTCAAGGTGAAGGAGCAAGCACTGATGTAGAAGCTGCTGTTAAGTTATCCAGAAGATATAGCTAAGATCATTGATGCCATCTAAGACTTTTGGAGCAGGAGAGAGGTCAATGCTTGGCTCCAAGGCTTCAAAGAGCAAGCTGAAAATTGGATGGAGCTGGAGGCCTTTACTCTAAGTGAAGTAACTCAGGACTGGAAAGCCAAATACCATATGTTCTTAGTTATAAGTGGGAGTTAAGCTATGAGGAAGCAAAGGCATGAAAATGATATAATAGACTTTGCGGGCTTGGCAGCGAAGGTTAAGAAAGGGGTGAGGGACAAAAGACTACATATCGGGTACAGTGTACACTGCTCAGGTGATGGGTGCACTAAAATCTCAGAAATCACCACTAAAGCACTAATCCATGTAATCAAAAAACACCTGTACCTCAAGAACTATTGAAATTAAAAAATTGAAAAAAAAAAGGAGTAGGCTGACTCAAAATTTAGGGGCTAATGCAGCTGGGGACTTTAAGTTGAAGCCAATGCTTATTTCCTATTTCAAAAGTATTAGGATCCTAAGGAATCATGGTAAATCTACTCTGCCTGTGCTCTATAAATTGAGTAACAAAGCCTGAATGACAGCCAATCTGTTTACAGCATGATACAATACATATTTTAAGCCCACTGTTGAGACCTACTGCTCAGGAAAAAAAAAAAAAAAAAGCTTCCTTTCCTAATGTAACCGCTCACTGACAACACACTTGGTCATCTAAGAGTACTGATGGAGATGTCTAAGTAGATTAATAATGTTTTCATGCCTGTTAACACAACATCCATTCTGCAGACTATGGATCAAGAAGTAATTTTGACTTTCCATTCTTATTATTTAAGAAATACATTCTTTAAGGCTATAGCTGCCATAGATAGTGATTCCTCTGATGGATCTGAGCAAAGTAAAATGAAAACCTTCTGGAAAGAATTCACTATTCTTGATTCATTCATAACATTCATGATTCATGGGAGGACATCAAAATGCCATCATTAACAGTATTTTGAAAGAAGTTGATTCCACCCCTCATGGTTGACTTTGAGGGGTTCAAGACTTCAGTGAAGGATGTGTCTCCATAGCAAAGAAAGCAGAATAAGAGGCAGAGCCTGAAGACATGACTGAATTGCTGCAATCTTTTGATAAAACTTTCACAAGTTAGGAGTTGCTTATTAGGGATTAGCAAAGAAAGTAATTTCTTGAGGTGGAATCTACCTTTGGTGGAGACGCTGTGAATATTGTTGATATGATAAGAACAGATTTAGAATATTACATAAACTTAGTTAACAAAGCAGTAGAGGGGTCAGAGAGGATTAGCTAAAATTTTGAAAGTTCTACTGTGGGTAAAATGCTATCAAACATCATCAAATGCTATGGAGAAGTCTTTTGTGAAAGGAAGAGTCAATCAATATGTCAAACTTCATTTTTGTCTTTCTTTCTTTAATTGCCACAGTCACCACCACCTTGATCAATCAGCAACCATCAAATTCTGAGACAAAACATTCCACCAACAAAAAGATTATGACTTGCTGAAAGCTCAGATGATCATTAGCATTTTTTAACAATAAAGTATTTTTAATTAAGATGTATACATTATTTTTAGACCTAATGCTATTGCACATTTAACAGACTATAGTATAGTATGAACACAACTTTTTATACGCACGAGAAAGCCAACAAATTTGTATGAGTCACTTTATTATGATATTCCTTTTAATGTGGTGGTCAAAACCACACCTGTAGTATCTCTGAGGTATGCCTGTATATGTTATTGGCAGACTCTGCAATATAGTCACTTACTGCATCAGTTTGCTTGATAATTAGGGATTTTCTAGAATGTTGGACTTTCAATGCTAAAACCAGAAAGTTCCAGGCAAATTGGGAGAAGTCGTTCACCCTATTCTGAAGCTACCTTAGTTATGATTTCCTTCTACTTGCTGGCAATATAAACTATAAAGAGAAGGTGATCACAAAAACTACTTTCAGGTACCATTTGTGCCCAACTTTACATTTAAACATTATGCTATATAATGTAAGAAGCACAGAACAAGACAGGAAAAATGATTTATTGCTAACAGGCAGATTTTGTTTCTTTCTTTGAGTTTATCTCTATAGTTTAATTCTTCTTTAATTGTTACTCATTATTTATGCTTTTGAAAAATCACCCTATTACCTTATGATCCAGCAATTCCACTCCTAGGTATATACCTAAAGTAACTGAAAATAGGGACTCAAACAGATACTTGTACACCAATGTTCATTGCAGCATTATTCACAATAGTCAAAAAGTGAAAACAACTCACAGGTCCCTCGACAGATGGATAGATAAGCAAGACTTGTTATATACATACAATGAAATATTATTCAGTCATAAAAAGGAATGAAATTCTGACATATGCCACAAAATGGATGGACCTTGATATTATGCTAAATTAAATGAGCTAAATGCAAAAGGATGAATGTATGATTCCACTTATATGAAATATCTCGAATAGGCAAATTCAGAGACAGAAAAAGTAAACTGGAGTTTACCAGGGGATAGGGAGAGGGAGAATGAGGAGTTACTGCTTGATGGTTATGAAGTTTCTGTTTGGAGTAATGAAGAAGTTTTGGAAATAGTAGTAATGATTACACAACATTGTGAATGTAATTACAGTCATGTGCCACATAGTCATGTTTTAGTCAATAAGGAACCACATATACAATGGTACTCTCATAAGATGATAATAGAGTGGAAAAATTCCTATCACCCGTTGATGTCATAGCTGTGGTAACTTTGCAGTGCAATACATTACCTTTTCTATGTTTAGAAAGGTTTAGCTATGCATATACCATTGTGTTACAATTGCCTACAGTATCTATTCAGTACAGTAACATGCTGTACAAGTTTGTAGCCTGAAAGCAATAGGCTATACCACATAGCCTAGGTATGTAGTAGGCTATACCGTCTAGATTTTTGTAAGTACACCCTATGACATTTGCACAATGATAAAATAGCCTAATAATGCATTTCTTAGAATGTATCCCTGTTACTGACATACGACTAATGTGACTAAATTGCACACTTTAACATGAAAATTTTATGTTATATATATTTTACTACAATATAAACATACCAGAAAAATCACATCTAAGGAATGGAAAAAGTCAACAAGGAAAATGTAGGCAAAGTATTCAAGTTTACGGCTAATCTAGTAATAAAACCATTAAAAAAGTTGGGTTTGCTAAACTCAGAATTATATCCGGTGAAATATGAAGTGGATCTCTCTCTTATGCCTTCAACATATTTCCCTTTTCTATACTTAGATCTCTAGTCAAAGGTTAAGCATTTTCCAAATATATTCTCTATTACAAGTACCTTAGACATGTGTGGGTGAGATTAGCTGCTTAAGTACCAGAGGAGACGTAGCTCTTCAACTGAAACTAATGAGTAATACCCTGGGTACTTAATAACACCAGTCTTCAGAAATATAAGTCATCTCAGACTTGAGGTACAAAAAAATGCACGTTAGAGTTGAAATATGCCAGGAAGATGCCTCTTCCAGGCTTCATCCTACAAGGCTCCATAAACTCTGAATCTTGTTTCCAATTATCCATTCCTATAGTAACTCTCTCCCAAATTGTACCTGCAAAAGGTTCTTTTGCATATATTAATAGAAATCCAATTTTTCTAGCACATCTGTTGAAAAGATTATATTTTCTAATTGAATCACCTTGGTACCTTTGTCAAGAATCAGCTGACTATATATAGCGAGGTCTAATTTTAGACCCTCTATTCTTTTTTTAAAATAATTTCAACTTTCATTTTAGATTCAGGGGCATATATGCAGGTTTGTTACCTGGGTATATTGTGTGATGCTCAGGTTTGGGGTGCAATTGATCCCATCACCCAAGTCCTGAGCATAGTAACCAATAGTTAGTTTTTCAACTTTTGTCCCCCTTCCTCCCTCCCTCCTCTAGTAGTCCCAGTGTCTATTGTTGCCATCTTTATGTCCATGAGTAGCTATTGTTTAGCTTCCACTTATGAGAACATGCAAAGACCCTCTGTCTTATTGTTAATCTATATTTCTATCCTTATGCCAAAATCAAAGTACCATGTATCTGATTTTAAGACACTATAATTCCTCTAACTTTGTTTTTTATTTTCAAAATTTCTCTATACTAGATTTTTTTTGTTTCTTTATAAATTTTAGAATGAATTTTTCAATTTCTACCAAGGAAAGCCTGCTAAGATTTTGACATCTTAACAGTATTGAGTCATCTAATTCATGAGCATGGTATATGTCTCCATTTGTTTAGACTTTCTTTAATTTCTCACAACAATGTTTTGTAGTTTTAAGAATACAGGACTAGTACATATTTTACTAAATGTATTCTTAAATATTAAAGTTTTCAATTCTATTACAAATGGTATTGATTTCATTGAAATTTCTAATTGTTAACTGTAAGTACACTAAATTATTATTATGCACAGTAGTTATGTTCTATAAAGTCTCCATAAACACTGAATTAGCAAAACTAAACCATTGTTCCTAGGGAAAATAAAGATAAAGTTCCTGCAAGTCTCTGGTAATGTTTTTATCAACAGCTCAGTACATAATCTTGTTTTATGCATATTTATGCTTAAAGACATGTTATTTCTTATATATTGTTGACTCATTAACATTGAATTCATAGCCAACAACACTGTAACTCATGCCTGAACAAAACTTATTTGACA